TCCTGATGGTGTTGATCTTCGTGTTGCTGTCGTTATGATTTTCTTGTTCCTGTTGTTTCCTTGATCATGATGTTCGTAAATCTTTAAGTTGTTGACTTCCGTACTGGTAGGATGATCTTCATGCTCATGCTTGAGATGATTCATAATTTGGGGATCGACAATTGGCGCGAAAGCGAAAAGCCGACTTTCTCCCCGTCGTGCACGTGGCTCTCGATGAGGAACCGTGCTGCGTGAGCGTCAGGGCAAGTAAGGACCTAGTCTACATCGGCTACGCTGGCGGACAGAAAAGAAGTGTCCCGCGAACGGAGTTGCAGCAGGCGCGCGTGAAAGTGGAGGCTCTGAAGCAATAGCGAGAACTAGAGCGCCAAGCCTTAAGGGAAGCAGGTGGCGACCTGCTACAGAGGGATCTTTGAACCTGCCTCCAGCGGTCAGCGATGCAGAAGCTGTCGGCGATGACGCTTTGCGCGAACCAGCAGGTTCACAATTATGGTCTCCTAGTACAGACTGTAGTGAATTAGTGACGGAGGTCAACTACATTGTATAATTTCGAGAACGCTCTTCGCGGCCGCTGCTCTTGATGAGACCTGCGATAAGCACATGAGAAGTTTTCATGTAGTGCTGCATGCTACAAAAGAACCTCGTGTTCATAAGGAGATGTTCATTTTTTTCTTCTCGAGACGTGTTTCTAATGCTGATCGTTAGTTCGAAGCAGCAGAGAAAGCAGGTCAGCGACATTGAGGGTGAGAACGCGCCTGACGATGAAGAGATGGCTTAGTCGCCTGACGATTCAGACCACGACTTGCTGTTTGTCACCACCTACGCTGGCGTTAGAGGTGCTATGGATGGTGCCTTCGCCACCCCAGCCGCAACGAGCAACACAGGGGCGCGGCGCCAACCTGTGCCGGAGGGCACAGCAGTAGCAGAGAGTGTCGTCCACGAGCACGAGCAGCCAATCTGCGCTCTTAGCTACGTTGCAGCGACGAGCACGTTGCTGGCCGCGGCAATGGACGGCGTCCATTTCATTACCAGTCCTTTGAAACAAAACAGTCTCAAAATTGCGGATTATACTTCGAGTTGTGTGTCAGTATCTTGTTGTAGTTAGTTGTTACACTTAAATGAAACTGAACATGTTGATTAGACGCCTATTTTTTTGTGTGAGTGCGTCGCTCCTTTTTCGCGTTTCTAACATGTCGGCCCCAGTAAAAATGTTAGTGAGCGATATGGGGCGGAAAGCGACAAGGGATGT